ATTTAATTCATATCATAGCATTGTTTGGCTTCAAAATTAAATAAAAAGTTTTAATAAATGAATTGATATACAGTTACACACACATAAAAATAATTTAAAATACGATGATGTAACACAATAGGCATATCTTAAAAAAAATAAAAAGGTACACAAAATATGTTATGTTGAAAATAGCTATGAATTCAAACTCGGTTAAAACAAAGGAACTTTTTCCATTTTCCCTACAGGATGTTCCTTTGTCAAAGTTTTGCAGCCTTTTTTCTGGTTGGCTAGATAAACGCAACATAATCATGGCATATGGAACTGATTGAAAAATTTAATGAACTTGTACAACGCTTCCTATCGGGTTTTCATAAGTTTTATTCTGTATAAACTACAATAATAGTCAAAGCTACTATCCTTTGCATTAATATTTACTTGGTAATAATACTATTTCTTTTTGTGTTAGTCTTCAGTTTACGTTATTTGCTGTATGCCATGATTTTAAATACTGAATTAACTAATTGTTGTTTTTAGTAAAATTAACTGAATTTTGTCAGAAAAATAACTAAGAATTTTATACATTATGTATAACCACAAAAATTATTTTTTTTACTTTTACAAGTAATGCGGCAGGTGTACTTGAGTATGTTTTGAGCCATGAGTGCTCTAGTGTGGTTTTTGAGTTCAACTAATGTTGTTGGGAGGAATATAAAGTGTGTTTTTGACAAAACCCTACAAAAACAAATCACAAACAGTAAGGTCCGGGGACATTGGTGGCCATTGATGCATTATTTAGGAAGCCTGCCATTTAAACACTCTCTCACATGAGAATTCCAGTGTTGTGGGGTATATTATGCAGTTTTTTAATCTGTTACCAACTGAGGGCAGAGATAGTTTCCTGGTGGAACCCATGTAAATATCCAAAGAGCCTTCTTTCCAACAGTTAGCTGTTCGAGAACATACGATTCATAGATTAACAGCTATGTTTTTCCAAGTCAGATGACTCTTGTTTAAATACACTTTATAATGTCAAACAGGCAAATAATGAATTGCACACATTTAGAATCAAAAGGTTAACTTAATGAATTCATGGTTAAATTAAGGTTAACTTCAATGGTATTTTTTTACATTAACTTACCTGGTGTATATACAAGTTGGGCGAATCATAAGTCATAAGTTAGCGCAGATTTCAGTACGCATTCTTCCTACTGAGGTAGTTTTAATGTTACAACAGAGTTAAAACGCTTTTCCAACCCAGAAGGAACGTAAGTTTAAGAAATCTAAGACGGAACATGTTCATGCCTTAATTTAACCAAAATTATACATATAATGACTCAGTTTAACAATCGTGTTTACATTGTCTTATACTGCTACACCTAATTGGGTTTGAATTGTAAATGTAACTGGCTGAAGAGATGATTTTTTCCCCCGCATCAAAGACTAATTTAGAATGAATGCGCGTTTGGAGACACTGTGATTTCACGAACTAATGAAGTCATCAACTCGTAAAACTTTACATTCCCTGGAGAGCCATTGTAGTTTTATATACATGGAGTCTCTAGTTAGGTCCGCTGAGATAGTAACGACCAAAGTCTGCCAAATAAAGTTAATTTCAGTATTGCTATTAATTTTAAAGGGTCTTCTTAGTGGATATGGCAGTGAAATAATATTTTTTTTGTGATTTTTTGAATGTGTCTATTATTTATTATTTAAAATGCTTAAAATAAGAAAAATTGGTCAAAAATTAAAAAATATTTTTTGTGCTTAGGCTATATTAAGAAAAATACGGAAAATGTGTTTTTTTTTTATCCGCTCATTGACTTATTTTAGTAATAATATAATATTTAAGTAATAATTACATAATAATATAATAAATAATAATAAAATGTTTACATAAACAAAAATTTGATCCACAACTCAACAATAAGTATCACCATGGTTACACTACCAAGTGTAACTTTTAGCGTGCGATTCCCGCTAATCAGTTTTTTAACGTTATTAACTACTAAATTTGATATATCTTTAAAACGGTTCATGCTACATGATTCAAATTTTTACCAAGTGTTTAGAATGTTATTATCTAAATAATTAGGTAGAGTTGTAAATGTATGTCTATTCTAAAGTGAAAACAGATTTTTTTATTTCCACAGAAAACCAATCTATTTTTTTATTACAAAATGACCCATAAAAAAGTAATAAATCAAGATTCTGTTATAATTGTACCCAAATATTTAGAGAGCATTATTCCCTGCAAACTGATGGTTTAATGATTAAAATACAATTATTAGAACTGAAGTTATATCAAATTTAGTTAATTACCAAAAAATAAAAATAAAATTTTAATGGTGTACTTAACGAAAGAATTTACTTTTAACTATGTTTATGCCTATTCTTATGCCTATAAAACATATGTTATAAGTTTGAAAGACCTAGTGATAATGTTAAGGAAGTTAGCATTTTCACTGCCATATCCCCTTAGTTCACGTAAAGTTTAATAAAATTAAACTTGGATATGCATTAATTAAAAATATAGCTTTTTTACAGGCAGGGTAAACGATTCCTTTACCACTTTCTACTTTATATTTTACTTTATTTGCACATATACTTTTCTGCAAACAGGTCTCTGAAAATGATGATTTAAAAATATTGTTAATGATAAAACCATTCACGAATAAAAACTATTTCTCAATCAATCAACATTCTCATCTGTAAGACCTACTATTTGTTACGATATGAATATTGGATTTATCAACAGTGTTTTAAATATTTTGTAAACGTGTCCAAGCAACAACAGTAAACATAAATGCATTGAGGATAGTTTTTTTTGTTCATTTGACATGTTAACATATTACGTGACACTAGTAATAGGACTTTTTCTAAGTCACAGCCTATATTAAACATTATTAAAATCTTTAAGAAGTCTTAAAATCAACATATTTTTGATATACCTATTTATTAAGGTAAATAAACAATTAATTTGGGGGCGATCATATAACTACGGAACCACAGTAAACTGTGTTAAGGCAGTTTTATGATTAGATATACCTTCAATGACCATTATGAAATGAAATGTCGTATTTAGAAGATACGATTCATGAATAATTCATTATAAGTAATTATTAATGCCTCTCATTTAATCAATACCGATACATACATCGGTACACCGTACACTACATAACTATTAACGGTGCAGCATGGATTAAGTAGCCAGTATATTGGGCTATAAACTGTATTGATTTATAGTTACTGTAACAACTACACAAGTAGTATACTACATTAGTTATGTGTTGGTATACAATACTAGTATATCTAGTATATACCTACTGCAGAGTGCAGTAAGTGAAGTGGGTTTGAAATGCTAAGTTGTTTGAGCTATAATTGATTTTTTGTATGTAATTTCACATCCTAGGACAATATGTTGTATCCCGGAACAGGTGTACACATTATTGAAGTCTTTTGCTGCGGTATCACCTGTAAAAATCCATCTCTGATTGACAGGATTCGAAGCCCAAACCCCTTTGGAAAGGCCCACATTCTACTTACTACATACCGTCTACTTACTCTGGACCTCCTTGCTACCCTTATTGGTAATTACACACTTAGTATTCAAACACTAATATTAAGCACTTACATTATGATGGGCTGAAGATGTAGATTTAAAGTAGACCGTGCCTTGATAAGACATATAATAAACTTGTTCCTTGTTAATTAGAGTAGACATCTATCAGTTAAACAAGTAATCATAATACACAACAATATTTTTAACTCACAGAAATACTTTACCTGTGTAAGTTAAAATCCAAATGCCTTTTACAAAAACTTCTTAAAAACTCAAATCATGAATTAGATGATGAATAATTAAGTTACTGGGAAAACGGGTGTACCAAAATCTTGCAAGAATGATTAAAAATATTCTTTATGTTTGATTTTTAACATCTACCGCTAAATAAGTCTGGGTTTATAAGTCTTAGATACGTTTACAAACGTGTACTTCATTTCAGGAATATTTTATAATTATATAAATTCTGTGTGTTGTTTGAACACTTTAAAAATAGTTTTTTCATTATTTTAGGCAATATTACACATTATGAAAATTGTCAGCTATTTAAATTCAAACTCTGTTTCAACATTTATATCTTAAAAGAAATTGTGTTAAACATTTTATATTTTTCATGTGAGATAAATAGGTCTAATCATTGATAGATTTAAAATACCAGACAAAATGGTTATATGTTATTAGGCCAAGATATCACTTACGAAGGATCAACTTGGTTTTACACTAATCACCCACTACCCTCATCAAGTAGCACACCAGAACAGCTTGGAGGCCAATCTTCTAGCCGTTACATCGAAAACAATCTAGCCTAGCAGCAGAATCTGTAGAGTTAGTTAATTTTAATCAGTCTTTGCAAATAACACTAAATTTTCTTATATAACATTAATAAAGTAGCCAATCAAATTGGATTTGATAATTCCAATAATATAGATTGATTTCATTTCAAGATATACTTAAAAGAAAATTAAAATATTTCATAAATGTTATTTTGTGGACGTTCTAGATTATTAGGTTTTTTTAATTATTGACTATTGGATACTGAAGTATTGTTAGTTGTATTGATAGTCAAAGGTAAAATGTTTAATGTTAGAATAAACTATATATGATTAACTCAAATTTTAATTATACAGTATACAATAAAATAATTAATGGAGCTCAATCAATACGAGCTCAATTGTATCATTCTCTCTCAAAATATACTAACAATAATTATTTAATTTGATTAGGGTTATAATTGACGTTGCTAAACAATTTTGAGGTTGAAACATATTGTAATTAAATCAACATGCAAATAAAAAAAATAGTTAAAGATATTTAATGCTTAAAAAAGAACTAACATTTTTTCCACATCAGAACAATCCAACTCTGGTAAATATTAATTTCTCCATGACAACCAGAATCAATAATAAATCATCCAAAGATAATCAAATAAAAAAATGTTCACAATATCAACAGCTGATGACTAATTTATGTCACAAGCACACGCCCCCGTGGTGTCATCACCAGCACGACGAACATCAGCAATATGGTGTGGCATACCATCAACCTCTACGCTGGTTTGTGAGAGCTGCCGTGAGACCACACCAGGCTTCCATCTCGTAGTACATAGAGAGTTTTTAGGCTTGACAAACACAGGTTCATCAGGTGAAAACTCAGTTCTTAGTTGCTCATCGTCACAATTTACAGGTTCGCCCTTACACCTCCACCTGTAGCAGAACAATTTAGAGCTTGGTGTCGACTCTTCATTCAAATCTTCTTTTGGTGTTAAATTATACCAATATACCATTTCTTGGACACTTCTTCTGGTTCTTGTTGCCATTCTCTTTATCGTTCTATGGTTTCTTTCAACGATTCCATTGCCGGACGGACGGTTTACACACCTAAAACGACGGATAACCCCCCATTCCTCACACATTTGTTCAATTTGTTCACATCTGAATGTTGCACTATTGTCCATTAATAGTTCTTGGGGTGGACCTCGTTCTGAAAACAGTTCAAGTAAGATTTTTACTACCTGTTCTTTAGTCTCACTTGGGATCCGTCGCCAAATGCAAAACCGACTTGGACCACAATCTATAATTGTAAGAAATTTATATGACCCAAAGTGAGTCACATCAATCGCAAGCCTGTGCCAATTCTTGTCGCAATCCAAGTGCCCCGGCTTCCATTTGATGGGGGATGGATCAACAGATAAACATTCTTTGCATGATTTGACTACGCAGTCAACATCCTGTTTACTAAACTCAACGGCCGGGTAACAACGCCTAACTGTGAAAAGAGTCCGATTAACACCAAAGTGATGCAGACAATGGATTCTTTTGACCAACTTTTGTTTATCCTCATCCTCTTCTTCACCCATCATTGCAATACTGATCTTTTCCTCCTCTCTTGCCAACCACTTTTTAGGAACTCTCGTCAGGCGATCTGCTTTGTTAAATTGCGATTTAACCAGATCCATCCTCACCTTAAGGCCACATTCTGATATGAGGTCTTTTAACAAACCCAGCCGTCTTCTTACAAGAGCTTCACCCATCCCATGTGTTTTAATACGTCGGTCTCCTGTTAATATGGATGTTACCCAAGCATAAACGGTGGCCGAATCTGTGACCAAGTATAACTCCTTCAAATTCCATTTCAAAGCTAAATTCACTCCTTTCAACAAAGCCTCTAACTCAGCTAAGTTAATATGCGCCGAATCATCTTCTTTCCTTAGCCAAGACGCGTCCTCAACTATTTCACCATCAATTTCAATGCAAATACCGATCGCCAAGCTGCTAGCATCACACCACACAGTTCCTTTGTCACTAGATGACACTGCCCATTTTCCAAACACAGGATCCTTTTCTTTTACGCTTTCCATTATATCTCCTAACATTATCTTGATTCGGTTGCTCACCACATCGTCCCATTTCAAATCTGTCAATTGTCTCTTAAGAAAACTGCATGCTGGTCGAAGCCAACCAGCCACCGGGAAATGTCCGATTAACTGCCCACACAAGGAGTACACATCCCTCTTGGTCTCAATTTTATCCAAAGCTTTTATCTTGTTGTCTCTGGTCCACATCAACTTGCCATCTTTTTTTGAAACGTTAAGCCCCAAAACCCTACTTCCATCAAGTGGCTCCACTGGTTTCGCTGACAGCCCATATTTTTCCAACAACTTCTTTACTACATCACCGTCAACAATGTTTTCATTCACCACTATGTCGTCAACATAAGAGTCCGTAGCACTTCGGACTATTGGGTCCATTGACAGCACTTTATTAACAATTTTGCTCATTATTTTCGGTGCGACATTTAGACCAAACCCGAGTCGCGTTAGACAATAATTCTTATCCTTTAATCGGACCACTTGGAATTTCCATAAATGAGGAGCAATATGGATTTGGAGATAGGCCTTACGAAGGTCGATAGTGCTCACATGTTCTCCTAGCTTTCTCCACATCCTTAGCTTTTCCCCACAAACCTCACTCTCTGCTGTATGGCTTGAAACATACTGATTTAATTCCCTGTAATCCATTACAGGTCGCACTTTGTCCTTGTTATGTTGCACGACCGCCATTAAAGGAATTAAGCCATCAAACTCCCCGTCATAAGGCTGGAGCCAACCGTCTCTTATCCAATCATGCACTTCAGCGTCAAACGCCTCCCTTGCCTCTTTTGAAATTGAGTATGAAGGTACTTGGTTATTTATCTTAGGTGTTTTACCGCCATCTTTCCAATTCCATTCAACAGTCCATTTTCCATCAACAAATTTCGCATTAAAGTCACAATCATTAATAGCGATCTCATCGTTGCCATTCTCCGAGGTTTCCTTCACGCACAGCTCCTTCTTGGCCTCAGCCATCGCTCCGATACCAACGTCCCTGAACGTAATAGTGCCATCTCCATCAATAGTGACACCTCCCATTGCAGTCACTGCATCCATCCCTAGAAGCATCTGATACCTTGGCAATACACTGGCAACCAAGCAACTCATTGTGAGCGGAACACCTCTTATCAAAACTTGTAACATACATGTCATGTTACACTCAACTGATTCTCCATTCATCATTATAATCCTTTGACTTACTGGCTTCAGTTCTACTCCATATTTCACTAAACTAGGTGACACAATGCTCCTTGAACAACCTGAGTCCAGCAAGGCACAGCATTTAAAACCCGACACACTTATTGTTAATGTAGGGAGTTGCGCTGAAGAAATTGGGCCACCCGCGCAACATAAGGCAGCCCCATTCACTCGTTTTTTGGAATTTGTGAACATTTTGAGGCATAATGTCCTACCTCCCCGCACCGGTAACAGGTTACTTTTGACTCACGATTTGGATGGGGACATGAACGTGCTACGTGACCTTCCCTGTCACAAACAAAGCATTTTTTAGACCACTGTTTACCAACTTTGAAAACTTTGGCATTAGCCTGTGCAACCGCCCCAAAGTTTGACTCACTGCCCAACAGATTCCTAGCTCTTGTCATTACATCCGACAACTCCATGCTTTGAAGAGAACACGCAGCTTTCAACTGGGTTTGAGTATCTTCTGGCAAGCCATGTACAACTGCGCTCTTAATCCACTCATCAGATACAAAAGGGTCCACCAATTTTGCCAGTCTCTTCAAATCAGAAGCATATACATCTAGTGACTCACCCAGTAGTAGACGCCTAGCTGTAAATTCTGCATAAGCCTGAAAACTGTTCGCAGAAAAGGCCTGCAGCAATGCATTGGTGAGAGCCTCATAGTTACTCTTTACATTTTCTGCTAGCCCGTCATAAACAGAAAATGCTCCTCCAGCCAAAAATAGAGGGAGAACTGTCTGCAAGTCTTTCACCTTTTGGAGCTTACATACCAATTCTAGTTTCTTTAACCATTCACTAAAATCACCACTTCCATCATACTGCTTAATCAAGTCTGAGAACTTAACACCAGTACCTGACATAATGCCGAAATAGCTTGTAATTAAATCAACATGCAAATAAAAAAAATAGTTAAAGATATTTAATGCTTAAAAAAGAACTAACATTTTTTCCACATCAGAACAATCCAACTCTGGTAAATATTAATTTCTCCATGACAACCAGAATCAATAATAAATCATCCAAAGATAATCAAATAAAAAAATGTTCACAATATCAACAGCTGATGACTAATTTATGTCACAAGCACACATATCATTTTACTTTCCTACCTGCTGCCACTTTTTGTTCTTCTTATTATTTCTCCCTTCCAGTTACCCAGTATGATTATAGTATTATTTTCTATAGAAGTAGTAAGATGTTCAATCTTAATGTTACGCTAATGGAAGAAAATTATGTGTCAGTTAGTTGAGTTTAACCACACAGAATACTTTTGTAAGCATAGCAAAGACAATCTGACATTATTGCCATTCCAATTTTATTTCGAATTCAAAAATTGGAAAAAGGTAAAACCATTGACCAGTCAATGGTAAAACTTAAAAATACAGCTACTTAAAATTTAATTTCAACCATAACTTAGTATTTAAAAATATTTATCTCTTTAAAAAATATGTTATTGTTAAAAATACTTATTGGCCTTAGTTAACCATCTCTTAAACGATTTACAATAGTAGATCTCTGAAGTTTAAAGTAAGCATGAAGGAAAATTTTAAAAAGTAACATCTAAGAGAATCTTAAACCTGACTTGTTGGCCATTCCAAAAATGAGGTACCTTTATATAGGTCCAAAGTTTTATTTATTTGATCTTTGAATTAGATCTATAGCATTTAGATTCAAAACAGCTCAAACATAAAATTAAAAGTACAAATGAATTTAAGGATACCAGCTATTACACATCAATAAACCTGTTTATTTCTAAAACGTTGAGCAGACTACTGAAAATATAAGCTGAAATAAGACAAATGTATTCTTTCCGTGCTGAATTTCAACCGATGATCCAATAACTAACACCTTTAATAGTTTTGAGGACGAGATTATACTTTTAATATTCGTATAGTAGACTAAAATATCTTGATACTTAAAGGTTTTTAATTCACAACCCAAATATTACAAATGAAATATGCCTTTTTAAACAAGTTTTAACATCAAAACCTGACTACTAGTTTGTTAAAGTATGTAATTACACATAACGTCACTTTTCTTGACAAAGATTCTACTCGACGTTGAGCTAATAGCTTGACCCTCATCACACTGTGCGTTATTTCAAGAGCTTCCACTTAGGGTTAATCTGCTTGGTAATATAACAGCAGAACATAGAACAAGCTAATCTTACATTGCGATGTAGCGCTTTCATTGCATACAAAATATGCAGTAAAATGTTTAAGTAATAGTTACTTTTTCTTCCAGATAGCAGGGAATAATTGCTTACAGCACTCTTAGATGAAATTAAATAGTTGGTATTTAAATTTAAAACCGGGTAAATTGTATGAAGAAAAATAGTGTAAATCCAGAGAACGTGTTGTTTCAATAGGTCGGATTAAGCAATTTGGTTTTAACTCAGATGAAATAATCTAGAAAGTGATGAAAAATATAAAATTTTATGTTAAATGTTTTAAATAAAAATTAGAGTAACCTACAATAACAAATACTCAACTTCAAAGTTGAAGTAAATTTGAAAATTTGTTGAGTTTAAAAAAACTCACGTTAAAACTATGTTGTGCAAATTGAACTACTTAGAAATAAAATTGTGATGAACCACTGCATTACAATAAATTAGATTATTTAAATAAAAATTCCAAACTAAACAATATTTTACCGGTTTTAAGGATCCTATCTAAAAATAAATACATTTGTAGGTGTTAATGGTAGTATGTAGTGTATCAAACTGAAATTCAAATAAGCTTCTTTAAGTTTAGTAGGTTTCTACTTTTTTGACAGTTAAAAAAACTAGCAATACAACAGTACAAGTAAACCAACGGCTTCATCTATCGTTGCGTCGTGTAAGTTAGTCGGGCCAAACAACCGTAACCTCTAAACAATCTTATTATGTAAAAATGTATTCTTTCATTCGATTGCAATAAATTTCTATATATTATATTATAGCTTTTTAACCACTAAGTTACCAGTTTCTCCTAATTTCTCCAATTTCTCCTAAGAGCATTAATTTTTTCTAGAAATTGTTATAATGAGAATACTGTATAACTGTTTCTCTAAGAATAACAGAGTTCATTGGCTTAGTAGTTCTCTTTGTCTTAGTAATCGACAAAATTGTTGCTCGTAAAATGTAAACAAACAAAAAAGAAAGTAGCTCTTAATGTTAGCCTAATCTAATGGGACAAAATTAAAAAAATTAATTTAAATTTTAAACCGGGTAAATTGTTTGAAGAAAAATAGTGTGAATCCAGAGAACGTGTTGTTTCAATAGGTCAGATTAAGCAATTTTGTTTTAACTCAGATGAAATAATCTTGAAAGTAATGAAAAATATTAAATGTTACTAGTGGCTTTTAGGGGCAATAGCCCCTATGTATAATATATATTCTGTCTCATGGGTTGAACCTTGAACCATTGGGTTGATCTCCATTGGGTCAACTTGAATTATTGTTTAACATTTTTGTATATTATAATATGTATAATAATTATTACATACCTGCATACAGTAATGCATTTTGTTGTCTGCTCTGTTTAAAATAAAAGTTCCAAAAGACTGTTCATGTGGTATTGGTATTATACAAACTTCCTAATCATAAATACAACTAAGGGACATTTTCAATTATAATCTTCATGACTACATATTAATTAAATATATATAAATCTATTTGAATATAGACAAATTCACTTAGATTAAACACATAGAGATAATGTCATCCTCCAGATTGTAAAATGCTAATTACAATGACAGAAAAATATTGTATTTTGTATTTTGTTTATAACAAAATCTCTCTGAAAACAACATTTGTTGTATGGTATCCATTTTGGTCGATTCCTTCGTCTTTATTTGATTCTAGTACTATTTTAACATATCTGGCCGCTTTACCTGGCTAAAAGCAACATAAAGTTGACCATGGGTAAACACTGTTTTTTATCTTCAAATAAATGTCAACTTTTGTTAAGGTTCGGCCTTGTCCTTTGCTTTAATAATAAGTAATATTGAAAGCTAATTGCAATGGGAATTGTTCACTTAAACGGCATATCAGTATCTATAGATATTTGTTTTATTTTCGGCATAGAAAAATAAGTCCCCTTTGCCTACTCACTCCAGTAATCACTTCTAACTTTTACACTTTGTTCAGACATACCTAACACAACCAATCGTACTCCATTGAATAATCCAGACCCTTAAAATTGGGAAAATGTCTATTTCAACTTTATAATAGTATGCATATTACAGTACATATTACGTATCATATGCTTTAAATAAAGTTATACCACATGATTTAAAGTAAACAAAGCAGACATGACCTAGATTCCCATGTTATTTAAATGTGAATTATTTTATTCCGTAACAACCGTTTGGTGCATAATTAAGAAAAATGAATATTTTTCCCCAAAATTTCATGCCGAGACCTTTAAAATGAGACCTCTCCCAGCTTTCTACGTCCTCCCGTTCGCTCACAATTTCATTGTAAAATTTTGGACTTACGGAATTAGATATATAGATGTTAAATGTTTGAAATAAAAATTAGAATGGACGAATTTTGGATGTGTATAGGCATGCACTGTGGATGTGATACACCCTGGTGTGGATTAACGTCCGCATGGGTGAGTACTACGACTATCCGCAGTACTGATAATTAGACCAATTCGTAATTACCAAGGCAAAAATGTTGTTCGGATTCCACTATAAACTGTAGGTCCCTTAGTTATCATTAGCTGTATGGGCTATTAATTAACAGCTGTATGTCTAAGGAATGTCGGCCTTAGTCACTAACAAGACTACAAGATCGCGCCACTCCTCCTACACTCATCTCCATTCATACTTGGCTTAAAATACCTACTTTGTATGGTCGCCATTTCA